CTGATAATTCTGTCACGAAGCTATCTAGTGATGAGGGAATATGCTACTGAGCATCTTTTCTTTCCTTGGATTTGTCTTGGCTTTTATTCTCACATAGAGTCTCTTGCTAGGTGTCATAATTTTTTTCCCTCTGATATTTTTTTAACTCAATCCCTTTCTATTCTACAGTATAAACCTTCATTATGTGCTGGTTCTTTCAGATACATTCCAGAAGCCTGCTTACTCTGCCTCTTTGTCTCCGTTCCATGCAGCAGCACGTGCAGGGAACTGACAAGCTGGAAAGCAGCTCTGCAGAAAAAGACTTGAGGTTCCTGGTGGACACCAAGATGAACATGAGCCAGGAACATATTGTTGTGGGAAATAAGGCTAATGGTGTCCTTGGCTGCATTAGGAGGGGTGTTGCTAGCAGGCCAAGGGATGTGATCCTTCCTCGGAAATCCATACTTCCTAGAAAAATTGTTACTTCTTTTTCTATGCCATTACATGAAAACAGCTGATCATGTCTGGCTATGAAATGTTTTTTTAATGTGCAATTTTGTCTTGCATTAAATTAGATGTTTAGTATTGAGTCCATCCTTTTGAGTCATGTTTTCATAGTCTTTTTTTCATTGGCACGATCTAATTACATGGAAGGACATGGATCTGCTGGAACGGGTCCAGAGGAGGGCCATGAAGATGATCAGAGGGATGGAGCACCTCTTCTATGAGGACAGGCTGAGAGAGCTGGGGTTGTTCAGCCTGGAGAAGAGAAGGCTCCGGGGAGACCTCATAGCAGCCTTCCAATATCTGAAGGGAGCTACAGGAGAGCTGGGGAGGGACTGTTTGTCAGGAATTGTAGGGACAGGACAAGGGATAACGGTTTTAAACTGGAAGAGGGGAGATTTAGATTAGATACTAGAAAGAAATTCTTTACAGTGAGGGTGGAGAGACACTGGAACAGGTTGTCCAGGGAAGTCGTGGATGCCCCATCCCTGGAGGTGTTCAAGGCCAGGCTGGATGGGGCTTTGAGCAACCTGCTCTAGTGGGAGGTGTCCCTGCCCAGGGCAGGGGGGTGGAACTAGATGATCTTTGAGGTCCCTTCCAACTCTAACCATTCTATGATTCTGTGATTCTATGATTCTATGATTCCTGTCTACTCAGCACTAGTGAGGCCACACCTGGAGTCCTGTGTCCAATTCTGGGCTTCCCAATACAAGAGTCACTTGGTAGGAATGATCTTTCGTATCTTCCTTATCTATGCAGCCATTCCAAGTGTTGGAATGCTGGACAGATTCATCAGGTCCTTTGTCCATTTTCTCAATTTTTAACATCTTTTTGAAATATGACTTACAGTTCTGGATACAGTAGTGCACTTAACAGTGCAAGGTAAAGAAGTAAGATCTCTGCTTCTGTGTCATAGTCCTATTTTCATACCTGCAGGGACTGCATTAGCCCTCTCAGCTGTGAAACAGGCTGTAGTTCTGGCAAACTGAAAGGCAAGTGAAAGCTGTTTTCATGCTGTATCTTGCGTCCCTTGAGAAAAGTCTCTCTGAGATTGTGGATTCTGTAATATTTGTAGGAGAGAGGAAGGCAAAGGTGAAAAAGTGTGTAAAAGAAAGCTGTTGAGGTGGTAGAGAGTTTCTCAGTTTTGAACACACTAAAAAGGGAGCAATTTCTCTTGCTAACAGCAATAGAACTAGGCTGAGGAAAGCTTTAGAAAATTATTTTGAAACAAACTAGATATGCTTTTGATTTAACTTGTATGTTTCAGAAGAGGGTGGGCAATATGCACAGCTCATTGGCTGTGCATGTATGTATATAACTGCAATTTGAGTTATTATCACCTCATCTTTCCATTTTTTCCTAGGTCTGTGTCCTTCTGAAATAATCAGCACTGCATATTAGGAATTGGTGGTTAGGCATAATTTTTATGCTTCTCATGAGCTTTTGTTTAAAGAACTGTATCAACAAAAGCAGTGGACGAAGGGTATGCAGTCTGTATGTGTCCATCCAGTCAGCAGCAAGCGCACGAGTGCAGGAAAATTTGATCTTGCATATCTGCCATAAAATTCTCAAGTATGTAAAGAGGTATGGCAAGTCAAGGACTGAGAGAATATTCTGGATGTCAGGACTTCTGTGCAGAAGCTCTCCTTGCTGGTGGCACCTCTGCTGGCTGGATAGTAGCCTTCCCCAGAAGGTAACAGGCAGACAGCTGCCAGAACCTTTTATTTCCTAGGATCTCTGAAGCAGGGGCTTGTACCTCTGCACTTGATGCATGTGTGCTTCCTGTTGCGAGGCAGCCCCGCTGTGTCACTGTTTCCTTACACTTTTTCAGCCCTCATCCATCTCCCTCCTCTTTCTCTTCTTTCATCAGCTTTCCTGCCTGATTGTATTTTTTCTCTTGAGAACCTTCTGGTAGCCCATCCTGAGATGGAAACGTGTCTTCCTGCATTTTGGCTCTTCCAATGCAGAAGAGGGAAAGCAAAGAGAGACCAGTTATGAATTATGACAGCCCAGCATTCCAGTGTAGATAAATATTTCATATACAGTTTTTTTTGCTTTTTTCTTTTGAGTTTGGAAAGGAGGGAGAAAGAGAATTCGAACCCCAAACTTAGAGATAATACACACAAGAACTAGATTCCTTTAGAAAAATTGCTGTAATTCTGTGGTCAAATGTAACCTCCAGTAAGAAATAATTCACCTGAAGCGGAAAAAGTCCACTAAGGGATGTTTGCCATTAGATGCTTTGTTAATGACAAACACCTTGGAAGTGACTGTGGAATATTCTGGAAATGCAACACTTCACTGTCCCCTCACTTGTTAACCATAGGAATATATTGCTTGTTGCAGTGGCACTAGCTGACATTAAGAAATCTGCAGTAAAACTAATTGACTTTAGTCTTCATTAATGACCTGGATGATGGGAGCAAGTGTATCCTCAGCAAGCTTAAAGACGGTAAAAAACTGGGAGGACTGGCACACCAGAAGGTTGCGCTGCCATCCAGAGGGATCTTGAGATGCTGGAGAAATGGGCAGAAAGGAACCTCAACAAAGGGAAATTCTAAGTCCAACACCTTGGGAGGAATAATCCCATGCACCGGTACGGTCTGGGGCAAACCATCTGGAAAGCAGCTTTGCAGAAAAGGACATGGATGGCCTAATGGACAAGTTGAAGATGAGGCAGCAGTGCGCCCTCGTGGCAAAGAAGGCCAACGGTATCTGGGCTGCATCAGGGAAAGCATTGCTGGCAGGCTGAGGGAGGTCATCCTTCCCCTTATCACTGGTGAGGCCACACCTGGAGTCCTGTGTCTGGTTTTGGGTTCCCAGTACAAGAGAGACCTCAACTTACCGGAGAGAGTCCAGCAAAGGACCACAAAGATGAATAAAAGACTGGAGCATCTCTTGTCTGAGGACAGGTTGAGTGAGCTGGAACTGTTCAGCCTGGAGAAGAGAAGCCTCAGGGAGATCTCATCTGTGTGTATAAATGCCTAAAGGGAGGGTGCAAAAGACAGAGTCAGGCTCTTTTCAGTGGTGCCCAGTGACAGGACCAGAGGTAATGGGCATGAACTGAAACCCAGGATGTTGCCTCTGAATGCAAGGAAACCCTTTTTTTACTGTGAAGGGTGATGAAGCCCTAGAGCAGGTTGCTCAGATAGGTTGTAGAGTCTCCTTCCTTGGAGATATTCAGAAGTTGTCTGGACATGGACGTCGGCAACTTGCTGCAGGTGACTCTGCTTGAGCCGAGGCGTTGAACCAGACAATCTCCTTAGGTCCATTCCAACCTCAACTGTTCTGTGATTCAGTGCTGGTTAATCAGTGAGCCTGAAACGATCTAGCACAACTGGAAGTCTGATGACGGGATTTTACCTTTGGGTATTGGATACTGGTTTAACACAGCGTTAACATTTCTTCGTTAGCATTTTCTGAAATTCATAATGTTACAGCTAAAAACAAAGGAAGATGTTTTCAAGTGAAGCTGTTGCAAGCTGTGCTATGCAGTGGGCGTATGCTCATTTGTTTGCTTGCTGTGTTTATAGAGTCAGTAAATGACTGAAACATCTCGTGCCTTGCTAATGTACTTGTTCTATCTGCTAACGCAGAGAACGAATGCATTTGAACAGACAGAGACAAGCTAAGATTTTCCTTGAAGCCCATCTGCTTTTTTTCCCCTTAACTGTCTTTAGATGCAGGAGGGAATTAGAGTTGATTTTAAGAGCAAGAAAAGAGGAGGTAGAGAAATTCATCAGTTATAGAAAGAGGTTGGCAGCCTAAAGTAGGACAGCAAGGGGAGAAAACAGACAACTTCACTAATTAGGAACAAATTAAGGATGGAAGGGAGTTGTGGAAAGATAAACCTAACCTGCCATGTGTCTTTTCCCAGTAGTTACAGCTGCCGATAGTGATAGTAGGCAGTGTACCAGGGTGAAAAGCCCCTTCAGAGGTACTAAGACATGTTGCAAAAACTGTTGCATTTCCTAGTGCTAGCAGTATTTTTTGATGGTAAGTGAATGTGCTAGAGAAGGAGTCCTGAGTCCTAGCACAGATTTCCAGATACCTTATCCATTGGGAAGGAACTGGTTATTGTTTTTCTGCTATGGACCAACATGAAAGGCAGGTGATGGTTTTTTTCCTCGGTGCATAAAGCTGGCCAGATAAGTAGCACATCAGGATTTAGGGATTAGTAAGAGAGTTCTGAGACTGGGAGTTCAGGAGTGTATGTGTACATGCATGAATCAAGGAGGTATGCATACACAGAGTACATATGCACATATATCCAGCTCCATGTATGAGTGTATGAAACCTTCAGTTGTGCCATTCTAGGTCATTCTAGCAATACCTTTTTTATGCATTTGCTTCCAAGAAATAATTCTGGGAGTGTTTGCTCCCTGAGAACACCAAATGTGGGTATTCCCCAATATACTTTTAATATTCCCCAATATACTCTTTAATGGCAAAAGAATAAGACACCAACACAGAAAAAGACGTATATTTTAATAAGTCATTAAATAAGTTTGCTAGCAAATATGAACTTTTACATAAAAATAAAACCTTTAACTTTTAATAACATTTGAATTATACTAATCTGAATGAAAATATTTAGAATGTTAGTGTAATAGCTTAATAAACTGACTCCCAAATGGTTTGGCTAACTCAAAAGGACATGCACATTCCTTCACACACTTGAAAATTGAGTATAAATAGTGGTGGAATCTAGCAACTCACAACATCATTTAACAGAAAAGAATATTTCTACCCAGCAGAAACTGGAGAGAATTTATGTCCCCAGACTGCAACTCTGAGCTGAAATTTGTCTTGAGAATGTGATGCTAATGTGCCTGCTCTTGCTGAAAATGTCAGACCTACAAACACAATCAAGACCTCAGAAGAATTTTGTCTCAATTCTGTTGCATTCTTCCTCCTGAAAAATGTTGACGCTGTTGAAGAATATAAAGTGCAGAGATCATTCAGGATTGGAGAACTGGCACATTCTGAGTGACATGGAGAATCTTTTCTGAAGGTAAAACTACTTCCTATATCTGAGCATACTATAGCATACAGATTGCTCTGTCTTCCAGGTTTGAAGCAAAATTAATAAAGGGAGAACACAGTCAACCAACTTAAAACATGACCTACTTCTATAATATTTTTTTGTTATCTGCTGAGCTTAATTTTATATGTTTAGATTTATACACATATGAACAATACCTCATGCTTTCATTTTCTATCCCTGCATCCACCTAACAACTAGTACAGCATCCTGGCAGAATACAGAGGAACAAAGCGTGGAGGTACAGGCTGTCTGAGCATAATAAGCTTGGATGGTGGTAAAAAAAAAAGATAACCAGATATTATGTTTAAAGCAAGTCTTTCCTTCAGGTGATTTCTAGTTTCAAATGCCTGATAGGAATTGCACAACTTTTCTCAGAGGGTGGGGAAGTGCCCTGAAGTTCCTCTTTCTGCTATGGAGCTTTACAAGAAAGCTACTCGTACAAAGCCACACTGGCTCTGCCAATAACATTTATGGCTCATGATTAATAGCCTGCCTCCGATCATGTTTCCAGTGATGGTTATGATTCACAGATTGTGGCCCAACTCTTTCTGTTTCTGAGACATTCCCTTCTGTAACCCGTGCAGCTCTGCTTTCTTCATTGACTCTCGGGATTTTACAATCTCACAGCATGTAACGAAGGATACAGCAAAAAGATTGTAATGCAGACAAGGAAGAGCATCATATTTACTACCATTCTGGAGCAAAAATAAAAAGCAGAGAACACTGGACAGTAGATTTCAGCCGTCGGACAAAAGTGTTGCATGTTGTTCTGTAAGGGAACGTGGTTCTGTAAGGATCTGGGGTGGATCCTTGTCTGAGCAGGGCAGGGCACTTAAGAATATGGGAGACCCCAGGCCTTGCTATGTGTAGAGTTGGTTCCCATTCAGCAGTCTGGCTGATGACCTCCATTTCAAGCTTGATACCTTCTAGACTGCTAGACTGACACCTAAAACAGATGAATATGTGATTTACAGAAACGTGAGAAGTAGGAGCTGGAAAAGAGTTTATAGTAATATGTAATAGTAATAGTTAATATTAAATGTCCAGTTATCCTAGGGTTTGGAGAAAGAATGAGGTGAGCTCAGGACCCTTGGCTGTGTGAGGAAACAGGACTGACTGTGAGGAATGCATTTCCTTCTTGCTATAAGGAAGGACAGACCCTGATGTCAGCATGAGGATCCTTTCAGTGCAGAATAAAACCTGGACTGCTGAGACCTAGTCTTGGAACAAAATAGAGAAATGCAATGCAAAGATCTAATTCTGTTCCTAGTACAAGGTGATTTTACCAGTCCAGTGTTGGGCAGCCTGTGGTGGAGCAATGCGTTGGGTCCTTCAGCTCTACGATGACAGAGATACTCGCACTTGACAGAAACCTCATCTCATCCTTCCCTCAGCTCCACCTTTTTTTTATAAATGGTGATCGACAAGAAAGGCTTATACAGTTCAATGACCTTAGGGGTCAAAGCTACCAATAAACCAGAAGAAAAAAGATGAGAAACTGCAGGAAAAAGCGGTAAGCTGGTTCCATGGCAGTCTCACAGAGCACAGAGAAGAGGGAGAAGCGGATCCCAGGACAAAACAGGAGAAAGATGTTGTGTCTTACTGCTAGATGGACTAAGTTGTTGTGGAACTAAATTGTCCAGGGAAGTTTAGCTTAAGCTAAACATGAAACCTAACTTTCTGTCAGCAGCTTGAATGTAGTTAAAGGGATGATTATAAAGAGTGAAGCCTGAGACTTGAGGGACAGTAGAGCTGAATGAGAAGTAATAACTTACTCTGGTTGGTAGATAAGCTATTTCTGTTCTTCTTCAATATCACAAAACCCACAAGAACTGTGATCAGTATAATCACAGCTATAAGTGGGCCAAAGAAATTTATCTTCACTTGCTCCATTTCTTCCCCCTGTATCTCTGAATGGGAAAACAGAGGAGGTACAGCAAAGATTCAATTTGGTGACAATTAGCTTAAACAATCTATCCCAAAGTTATGTGAATTAGAAGTTTAGGTGAATGTCTTCAGCATCCTTTGCTTTTACAGTGCTTTAATAGTTTCAGTAAATCACTATCCACATTGCTTTATTTCCATTTCCAATAACTAGTGCAACTACCGAGTCTTATCGGCCACTTCAATGACAGTAAGGCAAAGTACTCTTTCTGAAGTTTGGGTAACATTTAAGAGAACCCTAACTTGATTAATGCAAGAGTCTATGAGGCTGCAACTATGCTACTGTTACTCTGTGCTACTGTGCAAGTTTGAAGAACCTGGGATATGTTACTTCTTGGTATTTGTTGGAAATGATGGTCAAAGCCTAATGAAATGCCCTAAGGGATGTGAAAGTAGCAGGGAATGCAAAGGAGTTTCCCTCTATTCTGGTTATTGTGCTTTTGAGGTTTTGGTTGCTAGGATTAGCAACTGATACAGCTTCAGTTATTGCCAAACAAAGCTTTTGTTTATGTGGAGTTCTTAGTTTCTTACCCACCATCTTACCCACCACTGATCAGGTGGCTACTTTCATAAAGCCGGGGAAGAGAGAAGAACCGAATCGGGAAGAGGAGGATGTAGCACTATATTTAATGTAGCTAAAATAGCCAGGCTGACACTCAAGAGCAGTTTGTAGAACTGTGCAAACTTGAGAAACTTTGGTATTGTATTTTAAAGTTATTTAAAAATCCTAGAATGTAAGGACATCAGAGGCGGTTTGCCATGTCTAGCATTGAAGACTTAACCCTTTAGCTAAATTTATATGAAAACAACTGTACTGCGGAACTTTTTTCAGAATGAGGGGTAAGCTTCTTTTACATCTGCAGTAGTAAGGCACATGCCTGTAGTACCCTGGTAGGCTTTCCTGCAATGCTGCATTTCCATCTTGGTTCCCTGTTCCTGTCAGTTGAAGCACAGCTTCCACTTGGTTTAAACGAGACATGTGCAAGCCATGTGGGAATTGTCTTGATTTTGATGCGTTTGTGCCATATCTTATGAACAAAAATATGTCAAAGAATGTTTCCCTGTCCCAGGAGATAAATAAAATACAGTTTTAGTTTAAAGAAAAGATCACTCATGTGGAACCCTGAGATAATCCAGCAGTGAGGTCTTATTGGAACTCATGTCCCCAGCTGCTTCTTGCAAGAGGTGTCTGAAAAAAGACACAATCCCAGACTAAAAAAAATAATCCCCAAATAATCATTTTGGAATGTGCACTTCATTTTGCCAAGTGTTATGAAAACCACTAGGAATGCTTCTAAGACTAATCAAAGTTTCATGGCCTTTACACTTAATCTCAGCACAGTCTATTTGGCAGTTTGTGAGCCAAATCTGGTCCAAGGGCCTCTTCTGCCTCTCTCTAGAGGATGATTTAAGAATAGCAGCTCAAGCACCTAAATATCAGAAAAAAAAACTTTTTGTACTGTCAGGATGGTCAAACACTGGAACAGTTTGCTGAGAGTGGTTGGGCAGTCTCCATCCTGGGACATTTAAAACTCAACTGGGTAAGGTCCTGAAGTACCTGTTGACCCTGCTTTGAGCTGAGTGATGATCTTCAGATGCCTCTTCCAACCTCAATAGTTCTCTGATTCTGTGAAGTGGCAACCTCTCTTAAGAGCTAAATGTCATCTCCAGAGACTGGTGGCCACCTAATCCAGACATCCTGGTTGCTTTGTTGCTACTGCAGTAGCAGTTGGAACATAAGAGGTTCCACTCAAATATGAGGAGAAACTTCTTCACGGTGAGGGTGCCAGAGCCCTGGAACAGGCTGCCCAGGGAGGTTGTGGAGTCCCCTTCCTTGGAGATTTTCAAGACCCGCCTGGATGCCGTCCTGAGTAACATGCTCTAGCTCTGGGCAATCCTGCTTCAGCAGGGGAGTTGGACTAGATGATCTCTATGGTCCCTTCCAACTCTAAAATTCAGTGAAATCTAGCGAAGGGATGAACAGTGCTGTGTTCTGCATTGTGTAACAATAGCCTTCCTTCTCTGTGCCCTCTCCTTGCTGTAATAAGGCTTCTCATATGGAAAGGAGAGGAGATTTGGTGGCCATGGCTGTTGGTGAACAGGATGGAGAACACACCCTACCTTAACTGTGCTGCCATCTGTGATCAGCTGTACCGCAATGTGCCCTGCTCCCACCCATGCAAAAATCAGACTGGGCAAATGGAGACTCACCTATGCCTAGTGGCGCTGAGACGAGGCTCCCCAGCTGCTCTCCAAGGTGAAGCAAGCAGCTAATGTTAGTGAAGGTGTTTGTAGGAACGGGGATATTCAGCTTGCTAGTAACATTGTACAGCTTCGTTACAGCATCCTGTGAGACATCTGTGTGACCCGTCAGCCTGCGTGTTGTGTTTTCGTGTGAAATTAGCCAAATCATCTGCTTGGGCTCTGGATAACCTCCGCTAGAAGAACAGGAAAGATTCAAGTGTTTGCTGTGCTGGTGTTCAGGCATTCCTCCCCCGGGGTGTATCTCAGGTTGACTATAGTTGGCTGAAACAGACCAAAGAGAAAGCATCGTGATTAAGACATACAACATCTCATGACAGTTCCTGCCAGTTGGTGATTTTCAGGCAGAAGCAAGGCTGACTTGCTGCTCCTTGTCCTCACGGGGTGTCTCAAGGACGTAAGTCTGATCAGCCAATGGGCCTCTGTCTCTCCCACCTCCTTTGGATCCATTGACACCTGAGAATAACCACACCTGGCCTGCTCACAGGTCAGTGCTTACCCACAAAATGGGAGTGGGACACAGTGCTGCCTACTCTTGACTTCCTCATTCGGTAAGGGAAAACCACAAACTTCTAACTCTAAAATATAGAGAAAGAAATCATCTGAGGGACTTCAGATGGGGTGAGTTGGAGGTCCAGTGCTGTCATAGGTAGAAATATCCTTGGTGCCTGTCAATATTATGAGTAATCATTTTGCAGCATATAAAGTAATTCACTCAACTTGAGAGAAGGCCTCCCTTAGCTCAGCTTTATAAGTGGAAGTGACTACAGTACAAGTTCTTTATGTCATTGGATACTCATCCCATTCAATGAAAAACATGCCAGTTGCTTTAAAAAGTCAAGTTTCAAAGGCAATAAATAGTGAAACAGGGTTGGAAAGAATTATTTAAACATAAAATATGAATGATAAATGGAAGCTTTTAACAAATACTCACTATTAAATAATCTCAAAAGTATTCTCAACCCGGATTTGTTTGGTTAAAAGAACATAGTTGAAATAGTAGACTATAATGGAAAAGGAGAAGAAGAGAATGTAGACATAATACTGACTGCATGTTGGCATACAGCAAGTCAAAAAAACCACCCCCCCCCCCAACCCAACCAGCAATAAAACCCAAAACTCAAGATTTCATTGAAAATACTTCATTATTTCAGTGCCAATAGAATGAAAGACTATATGGAAAAAATATTTGGAGAAGGGGAAAAGGATTCTTAGAAAAATATGAGCCTAGAGCGTCTGACTCTTCTGCACACACACTCAATGTGCTGGATCTAGGCTCTAATCATTGCTCCAGTGAATTCTTAATGTAGATGGATGAGGAAATATGATGTTGCTTTTATTTGCTGTATGCCAACACACAGAGAGAAGGGTTTAGCTTAGTCACTTAAATCCCCACGAGAATCCGTGGCTGTGAATTCAAAATGGAAAAAGCCCCACCTTTTTTACCCCCCCAAATTTAGTGAAGTTTTCCATCAGGAAACTTAAGTTTCCTCTTTCTCCTCAAGGTCTGACTTGCTTAGCTGACTGCTCGCTCTGGTCTGGAGTATTTATTCTCTCCTTGGCATTTTATAGGGAGGGCAGGAGTGTAATCCATGGCTGTGAAACTTGCCAAATCATTAAGTGATTTAAGAGTTTCAATCTTGTTGACAGTAAACAAGTGAAAATAGTAGAATATACCCTGATTGAAGCACTTCTGTTTTTATGGCTTCTGGAACCTTAATTTACTGAAAAGTGATGTTAATTGTATGCAGGGTGTAGGCTACATATATGTGAGCTTGGGATTGTTAACAGAAAAGCATGTTTCAGGAAGTCTTTTCTATTTAAAGATAACCTGTCTTCCAAAAAGGCTATGAGCTTAGATTTAAATACCTCAAGAGACAGCAGATCTATCAAGCCCTTGATATTTTTTATAATGTCTTAATCACATTACCTGGTTTTGTTCTTTTTTCTAACGTGGCAATGTGCCCTACTTCTCACTTGCTTCCATCCACTGACTGGTTATATCATCACTGAATTAATTAGTCCTTTTTTTTTTTCCTTTTCTTAATATCCAGTATTTTATGTGTATTTCAGGTTCACACACTGCAAACAAGACTCTTCTCTGTCTTGTGCATTAAAAGGTAATCAGGTCGATCTTTTAATGTCTCCAGTTGGGCTGTATTTATCCAGCCTTCAGATAACTCTAGTAGAGCTTTTCTTCATGCTTTAAAGATTTTCAACGTCTGCTTTAAAATGAGGACACAAACTCTTAAGTCTCTATTCTGATATCAGTTTCACTCCCAACTCTTTGAATAGCACATATTTTGTAATAGCTTTCCTAGCCTCACCTACTTCCCTTATTGATCAATCCAAAGGAAGCAGTAAAGCCATGCTATAGCAGCAGAATTTCTAGTTAAGCTGCTTGTTATCATGGTCCCTACGTTGCCTGTTTTAAGAGCAAAAGCTTTCCAATGTGAAGCCCTCCCTTCTTTCTGGAGAATGATCTGTGTTCATTGTTCTTATATAAATCACCCTGGCTGTACACAATACAAATAATATAAATATATCTATATGTATTTTTTCCTAATGTAATACATATAAATGACAAATGTAAATTGTATTAGAAGGTACTTTGGTATTTCTGAATAGGCTTGGACACCAAGTGATGTAGATAGCTTTGTGTGACTGCCCTGTCATTCTTGTGTAGCACTCACTCTTTCCTATGTCCATTTTAAGTGTGACATGCTATACTACAAAAAGCCCTCCACATATGATATGAGATTCTAGTTACAAAACAGTAGCTAAGCACAAGTACATTTCAACATTTGCATTTTTCTTATTATTATTTTTAAGGTTTTTTCAAAATATGATTTTATACTGCTCCTTCCTTTGGTAACTTATTGAACAAAGGGTCATTTGGAAGGAATATAGCAGCAAGTAGTTTCAATAGTTAAACCTTAGAAGAACCTTAAAACTCTGGGAAAGCTTTAGTGCCAGAGTATGAGTTTTCTGGGTCACAACAACCCCAGGCAGTGCTACAGGCTTCGGGAATTGTGGCTGGAGAGCTGCCTGGCAGAAAAGGACCTGGGGGTGTTGGTCGACTGTTGGCTGAACATGAGCCAGCAGTGTGCCCAGGTGGCCAAGAAGGCCAACAGCATCCTGGCCTGTATCAGGAACAGCACTGAATAGAACTCTGGAGGTGATTGTCCCCCTGTACTCAGCACTGGTGAGGCCCCACCTCGAGTACTGTGTCCAGTTTTCGGCCCCTGACCACATAAGAGACATTGAGGTGCTGGAGCGGGTCCAGAGAAAGGCAACGAAGCTGATGAGGGGTCTGGAGAGTAAGTCTTATGAGGAGAGGCTGAGGGAGCTGGGGTTGTTCAGCCTGCGGAAGAGGAGGCTGACAGGAGACCTCACTCTCTACAACTACCTGAAAGGAGGGTGTAGAGAGGTGGGGGTCGGTCTCTTCTCCCAAGTCACAGGCGACAGGACAAGAGGAAATGACCTCAAGTTGCTCCAGGGGAGGTTCAGATTGGATATTAGGAAAAATTTTTACGCTGGAAGGGCTATCAAGCATTGGCATGGGCTGCCCAGGGAAGTGGTTGAGGCACCATCCCTGGAGGTATTTAAAAGACATAGTGCTTAGTGATATGGTTTAGTGATGGTTTTTTATCAGAGTTAGGTTGATGGTTGGCCTAGATGTTCTTAACTCCCTTTCAACACAGACAATTCTATGATTCTATGATTCTATAACATGTTGCTCAGATGTTGGCTAAGGTGATAATGGATTTAACAGCTTGAATTAACTGCACAGTTGATGCTAAGCATCTCTAAATTGGAGGCCTTGATACTGAATACACATGAGTTTCTAAGTTCTAAAGCTTTGCTGAAAAGACTTGTCAGGTAGATTCTTGGAGAATCAAAATTATCAATCTAGGTTTTCTATCTGTGGATTGAGAGAACACTTGCTGGTAGCACAAAGCTAAATAGGCTCAGATGTTCTAGTACTCCATTTTTGACTGCTATTACACATGGCTTGTTCTCTTTTGAAGCAGTATGCTGAAGCCTGAAAACACCAGTGGAAATTAGAAGCTGTTATTATTAATGACTAGCACTATCATAGTGAAAGGAAGAACACAGGCATACAGACAAGGGTTACTAACAGAACAGTTTAAAATAGAAAAACATTTGGAAAATATATTAGGTATTATTCAAAATATTAGAAACATTAGGAAAAGATCACTTCCTCACTTCCATTCCCATGCAAGAAATCAAGTTAAATTTCATCAACGTGTGCATTTTTTCTTCAAAGATATTTTCAGTCTTCCCTAACTGAACATATGAATTTCTACTCCTCCACATATGAGCTGTTCTTTTCTTTATTTTCCCTGCGATTTATATGATCATAAAATAGCTGGGTGTTTGCAGAAATCTTGTTATGTTTCAATTGTAATTTACCACCAATGATGTTAACTACTGCTGCTTTTAATAGAAAGTAGTGCATCAGATGCAAATAAAGAGGTGGATTTTCCAGAGCCCTAAAAGCCATAAAACTTTCAGGAGGCGAGAGGAAGAAGACAGAATGGATTTCACTATAAAGTATGACAGAGTGGGAATCAGGAATGATGATGCAATATTGAGCAAATTATTGCCTCATTTTCTACTTTTTCTGATTGCTTCCACCTGTGTATTTTTCATTCAGAGCTGAGGATTCTTCTATTGAGAATACTCTTACCCATCTTCAGAAATTCTGTTCCAGTGCAGTTACGTCTTCAGTGGCTTGGGGCCAGTACCACACATTTCTGGACTGAACAAAGGGACAGAGAACCCCACAAAAAAACCCAGGCCAGGTGACAATTAGAAGAGTTTACTTACCAACGATGTGCAGAAAGCACTCAGATTTGTGTATGACCTGTGGCGATCCTTTAATTCTGTGCTGTATAATACATGTATACTGTCCCTCATCCACAATTCCTGCATTGAACAAGTGCAAGGTCCATTTGTCCATATCCATCTTGGTGCGATTTATATATTTAGGACTAAGGTTATCATGTTTTTCTTGGCCGTGGTATACTTCGTGCACCACTTCATCAGTGCCTTTCTGCCAAAAAACTCTTAAATCCTCTAGGTCAGTTTTCTGAGAGTTTGTAAAAAAGCAGGATAGGTATGCGGTGTGATTGAGAAATGACTTCACCTGATGCACACTGGCAGCAATACCTTAGACAGAGAGAAGAAATTAAGATTTCCATCAGCTACAAAAGAACACCAAGTATTTGCACTCGCAGAGGCAACGTTTAACGACAGTAGCTATAAAAACACCAGCATTTAGACACAAATTCTCCCACTAGATATGACAGGACACATCGTTCTTCAAACTGAGTCACTTAGTCTTGTGGAGTTCAGGTCATAAAACTGTTTCTTATCTTGCTTCCTATATTTTACTTTCCAAGTAAGGCTTACCACACAGAGGGTGTGAGCATCTATGTTTTAGAAAACCCATATACAGGCAAAAGTTCCAAACCATTCTGGTATGTAGTAGTCTCATTATAATGAGACTCTGCCACAAAGGAGATAGTTGCACAATTTCTTTTTTAAAAAAGTTCATTTTCCTAATAAAATAGCACAGCATTGCAGTTTTGAAGAAAATGTAAAGTGCACTCCATGTGGTAAACGTTGGTGTCTAGGGAGTATATGACCAGAAGGTCAGAAACAGGTGAACGCTTTCAGTCTCACTGAAGAATTAATCTAAAGTTTAATGACAAATTAAATGTCAGATTTAACTGTTCTGCAATTAATCTAGAGTTTAATGACAGATTAAATGTCAGATTTAACTGTTCTGTTGCTGATCTTGTTAACAGAAATAGTCAATAAACACAATTATTCCTTCATGCAAAGAAAGCATGAACTGTATTACACAGGGGATGATTTTTCTCTGGCTTTCACCAGTGCATGTATGCATTATTATGGGTGGCAATGGCCGGGGAGGACAGGCTTTTGTTGGAATGAGAAATGTGGTCCTCTGTCCCAGAAGATACAAACACCTCTGCTGTGTTCAAAAGAAGGAGAAGATTTACAGTCTCCTGGTGCAAAGTTTTGACTGCTTCTCCAGAGCATCAGACTGCAAAATGATCTCCGTGGCTGCCTAAAACTCCAGTTGTCCCATATCAAACTGTCAGTTTTCAGTTTAATGCTGCTCTCCTCTATGATATACGGAGGTGATATACACACATTTTAAAGATAGATTTAAATTGAAATTTTAAGAGCAACATAAAATAAGTGTAATGTAAAGATGTAAAGTTGAAGAGAGAAAGTACTTACTATATATTTTATGGGGTCCCTGCACACAATTTAAATACACGTCACATGGGCTATATGACCTTGATTGTGCAACAGAAATGATTAATTACTACTAAGGAATGAGCTTCTTACTGGATGAGAAAGTAAAGTCTCACATAGCAAGGCACAAATAATCAAAAAGTTTTTACAATTAACAAGGCGCCTTTTACCTGGGAGAAGTATCATAGCATAAAGGAAGAATATGCAGACCTCCATGATGCTGTAAGAAGGAAGAATGTAAGAAATACGTTAGAGGTTGAAAACATTCCAGTACCTTCTCCAGTACTCCCAAAGAAGTGGTGAAACAAAAAGTTTTACCAAGAGAGAGACTATTGAGAAAGTTTATCTCACCGAGAAGTTTTTAGCAAGAGAGAGACTATTGAGAAAGTTTATCTCACCTCTTCCCATGGGCTGGTGCAAGGACTTCTATGTGCTTCAGAGCCCTTAGCAACAAGAAGCTTGCCATGACAGATCTCTAGTTTACAGAGGAGGTGATGTGGCCCAAGATTGCTGCAGATGAGGTATGCCATGGGAGAGACACAGAGGCTCCTGGGGGCAAAGGGCAGAGCGAGTACCCAAGAGGCCTGACGCGGAGGAAAGAGGAATGGGGAGCACGCTTGGCCTGGCAGGGTGGGGAAGAAGATGGGGGAATTGAAAGTAGAGGCGGAGGAAAGGGTGACACAGAAGGAGGAGGTGGGGGAGACGGCGCAATGATGTCAGCAGCCAGAAGTGATGAAGTGTGTGACCTTCAGTTTTGTACCAGGAACCTGTCCTTCATGACAGTAAAAGGTAACTGAGAGAAATCCTATGTTGTTTAAAGAGTTGAGGCTAAAGCGCACAAAATTTGCGGTCATGAAAAACTGGTATCTGCTTAGAAAAAAGAAGAAAAAAACCTGTGACTCATCTCATAAGAAAACACTTCTCTAAGGTTGCTTGGGTTCATGTGGTGTAAGGGCCTGTAATCCTGGTAAACAGCCCAATGTCATTCCCACCCACCAGTGAGAGAACAGCACCTGCAACTGACCAGCCTGTTGTTGTTGGTTTGCATTTTTGCAGTGCCTTTTCCTATGCTTTGTCCATATATTTGGGAGAAACCTTCACATCATTCCTGCCAAGGTCTTTCACTCTCCTCCTATAAACAGCTCCAAAGAATCCTCTTGCTGGAGCAGATGTAAAAGCTCTTCAGCTCTCATATTACTTAAATCCAATGAAATTGCTGTCTGCTGTCATGATGGTAGTGCAGCTTCCTGATGGTTTCCCATTTTTCATCATGTTTTATTTTAAGCTGGTAGACTTTGGGCTTTACCTTTACCCCAGGTCTCTGGCAGCGAGAGACTCTTCTGTTTAATACAGAATTCCCCTCCGTCTGCTGACATGATTTTTGTGTATATATTGTAATGTACAGAAGTGTGAATGATATTTTTTTCCAGACCAGATTCATCCTGCCTTTCCTTTGGAAAGGGGAGAAAACAGCCTAAATGTCTCAGAGGATATAGATAATTTCCTTTGTGACCCACCTGTTGTAGCTGAAAAGGAGGGAAGGCTTGTGCAGAATCCATTGTTGTAGACAGAGGTCATTCTTTTTCTGCTCCAGCCACCCTACACATGGTGAACTTTTATCAAAGGTTTTTCCTCCTAAGCTGGGCCCCGCTGAATTAAACCACACAACTGACAGCCTAAATAAAATGCCCTGTGCCAAGCCACTGAAAAATGACAGAAACTCCTTCTCAGTAGTCGTATTTCCCTCCTGTGAATAAGAATTTTTCCTTCCAGTCAAGTAAAGGAAAAAGGATAGCCCTATATTTTGGATCCAGTGCAGGTGCGTAAGAGGAGAAATTAAAACAATTTGGCAACTGGAAACAGAAGTGAAGTGGAGAGAACGTACTGGTGTAGCTACGCATGTTTTGCATTGACTGTCTCATAGCAGCAAAGACCAAAACCGGAACTGAAAATAAGAGTGTGAGAGATAAATAAAACCCAAGCAAAAATACCAGATAACACTGCTTGCTTTTCTTTATGGGTTGGATTTGGAGCTGTGAGGACAGAAATCTCAAAGATCCTACATGGTTTCCAGGCTGTTGCCTTCCAGGAAAAGGCACGTTGCTGGGGATGGCTGTGTGAGGAAGAATCCCGTGAGTCTGCAGAGGGGTGCCCACCCACATTTCCTGCAGAAGAAGGTCACTGATCGTGTCAAGCTGCTTCTCTTACATGAGCTGCTTTACAGAGAGTTGCTGAATCATGAATCGGGCCATTAAAACTTCAGTGCTGCAAGCAGCTTCTCTTCCCCTTTTTTACAGGATGCCTTTAACCAGCAAGTGAAAATCCATGGAACCAAGGGGAGGAAGGAAAATTACACGGTCTCTTTGTTGGCTGCTTACACCATTTCTTTGGCATATTCAACACAAAATCTGTGTTCAATTCTCTTTTGTCTCTGCAGGCCATTGAAAGTCTGGATATGTCCCAGAATTGTTTCACAAAGTGGACTAGGTAAGAGGGGAAAGATAGACTTTGCTTCAAAGTATGGCCTGTTGCTAGAAAATGGTGCAGACCAAACTGCCCTCTTCATGGCCATGGCCCAGTACATGAGCATTCTGCTCAGCTTCAGAGGGTCTGTCTATGGATGTGCAGTTTTTCTGTTCACATGCTGGCTGCATCCAGCTGTGGAAGTGGTACTTTTTCACGACGCCAGTGATAACTGATGAGATGGGAGTGGTTTGAAGACCCAGGGCTTAAAAATTATCTCTGACATTCAGAATTATGTGAGGTCAGTCCACGGGGAGGCAACCATTTCCCCTTCCTAAATAACGCTAGGACTATGTGTCTTTCTTGCCTTTTGAGGCTTTGTCAGCCATTCGTGGAGACGTCCCCGTGACTCACAATTACAAATCGTGTGGAAGTCAGAGATGAAAAATGGAGAAGTATATTAATTGAAATTATGTCAGCATGCAGTCAGTAGTCACACTGAGCCCTTTATTTACTATCTCTGTAGCCCAATCACTGAAAGGAGAAGAAACCATAAGAGTACATGCACTTTACTGGCCCTATTCATGACTGCTTTGGTTTGGCAAAAAACAGTCTAAGAAAAGTCATGAGGCAGTTCCCACTTGGCTGAGTACAGGGGAATTCCTTCCCTGAAGAACTATAAGATCGATGTTGAGGAAAAAGAGGCAACTTCACTCCGTTTACATCTGAGGGCAGGTGCCAGAAAGCCCTATGTGACTTACTTTGAGATTGGCTTGTGCTTTCTGTCTCTCGTTCCTCCAATTCCAGCATGTGAAAACCCAATATGCACAGTGAAGCACGAAAGGCTTGGAGTAATCCTGGTATGCTTGCCTGGGTTTTCATTTGCTCTCTTTTTTCCTGTTTCCATTTTTAGATGTAATCATTATCTTTTGAAAGATACTGTCAAATCTGTGCTCTTTGATTCCTAATTTCCTTCACTGCCCTCCAGCTCCATTCAAAATATTCCTTTCTTACATGTTCTTACATGTAATTAGTTGATTTTCTTGTATCAGGTACGTATCTTCTATGGGAAGACTCTCCTCCCCCATGTTTCATGATGGATTCAAAACAAAACTGGCCACTGAACTAGTAACCTACTCTTTTGACTTTTCTAGTGTAGGGAATTTTTCTAAAATTTCCATGCTGTGCAACACTGAGTAGCTCCATGAGCAGTGCTATGAGCCTCCTGGAGACAGGACATGTGTGACTAAGACTTTCCACGGCTGACTTGAAGGCTATCCTAGAGACTTCTCAATGAAATTGTGCTAAAATACATTTACCAGCCTTCTTCCATGTTGTAAACACTGGTTGATTTGAATAAATTATATCAAAGGAAATCAGAACTTAGAAAATTCCCTTCTTCTGGCCAGGTCAGAAAATTCTAGGATGCCCTCCACCCAAATTCTAAGCCATACAACAAGGGACACATTTTAAAACCACAGCATTGCCCAGGCAACTTCTGTTATCTATCTATTTCTCCAATTAGAAAGTGGGACTATTTTAATCAATTGCTAAACTTTTTCTATTGCTCATTCTTTTGGAACAATCTTTTGCTCCAAGTTACATTTAAAAATTTGGGGCTTGATGTTTAATTATGTTGTTATTACATTAAAAAACCCCTCTGTCTCCCACATTTTTTATGTCTGAATGCATCTTGTATTCCTTCACACTATCCCCTCTTTCAGTAACACCCTTTTATTATGTCTAAGATATTCAGGAGAGCTATAACTTTCTGTATGATTCTGGGATCACTTTGCTGTGACATCCAGAAACCGCTCTTTTAATAGCAATTAGATAACACGAATTATTTAAATAATACCTTTGGTCCAAAGATCACGGAGCATTCCACTGCCTCTGCAAGCAGAATTCTTCATCCACAACTAAAGGGTGGGTATCTCTGGAAGGGAGCACAGCAGCTGCCTAACGCCACGCAGTCCCACAGCACAAATCAGAGGACAGGAGCGTGTACTCCACACAAGTGAAACTGGGGGGGGAAATTCAGGGGGGAAGAACGTCATCGACCAGAGTGAGACATTTGTTGGGATTAGCTGTGGTGTTTATTCTGAGTTTCACCTAAAGGACAGCTGAGGTTGACAGATTTTTCCACCATCTTAAGATGCACCCGGCCACAAAAAGGGCAAGTTGGTTGAACCACTTCTGCATCACAGGTACCACATCAGGTGATGCCTGCCCTCCTTTCCCACCCCTCGCTCTTGCCTCGAGGTTGGGTGAGCAAACTTGTCAGCTGGGAAGTAACAATTGCTGGATTCACTTCTCACCTCATCACACTAATAACCTGTTTGATTTTGGAATGAAACAGAGAAGGAGGACACCCCTGTTCCCACACAGGTGACAATTAAGAGATGCCAGCTGATTAACAGACCAGTCAGTTTCACTGAATTTTTTTCACTGAATTTTTAGAGTTGGAAGGGACCATAGAGATCATCTAATCCAACTCCCCTGCCAAAGCAGGACCACCCAGAGCTTGTCAGAGCATGTTACTCAGGACTGCATCCAGGTGGGTCTTGAAAATCTCCAAAGAAGGGGACTCCACACCCTCCCTGGGCAGCCTGTTCCAGGGCTCTGTCACCCTCACCGTGAAGAAGTTTCTCCTCATATTTGAGTGGAACCTCTTATGTTCCAACTTGTGCCCGTTGCCCCTTGTCCTCTCACTGGGAACCACTGAAAAGAGTCTGGTTCCCTCCTCCCTCAGCCCGCCCTTGAGATACTTGTAGGCATGTAGTTGCTGCAGCTCCTTCAAGAGTCATGGCACAGAAGAGGGAATTCAAATGCCCACTGCCCACTTCTGAGCCTCCTGCTTCTGCACAGGACACTGCCTGGAAACGGCAGCACGGCTACACACTGCAGTACAGGCATAACCTCAAACAGCAGCTTGCAGGGCACCTCTGATGGCAAGATACGTACTGTACACAAAAGGATGAATCTGTAGTTGATTCCTAACCTATACCCAAACACTTCTAACAGGGATTAGCAGCTGTACAATATCTTCTATGTTTAGCCCTCAGGTATTACATT